TACAGCTCGGCATCCCCCTATTCCCTCCAAGGATCGTAGCAGTGTATTGACTGCCACGTTCCAAAGAAAGGGTGAGAGAACGCCCCCTTTGGTGTTTCGCAACTCACGTTTCTGGATACAGTGGTCGACCCCAGCGTAGCCTTGATAGACCGCTTGGTAAGTAGCTGTCTTATCAATTCATTGATGGAGTTGTCTATTCCCAGATCCGTAAGCGAGTTCGTGATAGCAATTGGGGACACGTTACTAACAGCGTCTTCTATGTCTAAGAAGGCAGTTAGGGTGAAGCTTTAGCTAATAAGAGATTTCTCTATATTCTCGAACGTTTTTAAGAGAAAAGACGAGAGACTAATAGGTCTGAAGTCTTTCGGGTTGGTATGCTTGGCTTTACCCGCTTTGGGTACTAAGACCCCCTTCGATCTGAGCCACTTTTCTGGTATTCATCCTGTTTGGATTATGTGCCGGAATGATGTTATCTGGCCCCGCTGATTTGTATGGCTTGAAGCTTTCTATTGCCCAGCTGATATTATTCATAGATAATACGTCAGAGAGCGTGTGAGATGGACCAGCACTTGCTGCGCTGCTGGATGGTCCAGCGCTTGTGGAGCTGGGAAAATGGGTTCCTAGAATCCGACCAAGTGACTCTCACTTGAAGTCGTCCATGACTTGTCTGGCTTCTGGAGGTAACCAAGCGTTGATGGTGTTTTCGAGTGAACCCTTCGAAGCCTTGCGGCGTCAGAGCAGAAGTTCTGCCAAGACGAGCGTTTTGCCTGTCTGAGTATTTTCTTGTACTCTGACTGACTTTGTTTGTACGCCCACCATTGTAGCTCCCCTCTTTGGGATCTGGCTGCATTAAAAAGTTTCCGTTTTCGTAAAATATAATTTTTTTTTTTCAGATATAGCTAACATTAACATTGTTATTTTTTGGATATTCTATTCTATTCTATTCTATTCTATTCTATTCTATTGAGTCAACACGAACACGCACGAAATTGGAATATGAAACACGGCACTCGTGTCCACGCAGTGTAGCGATGTGCCACGAACAATAAAAAGCACCGACTTTGCCCATCTCTGTTTGTGTCTGTGAGTGTGTCACTATGTAAGTGTGTTTATGTGATGTCCTGCATATGGTTGCTGCATATGGCAAGTAAAAACATATTTCTATATTTCGAAAATCGTTGAATGCCAATTTGTAGATATAGTTATGTTGATTACGGATACCAAATTTGAAATGGATGGGACAACATTAATAACACAAGCTTTCCATTTGAAAAATAGTAAAGAAATATTAATATTAAAACCCCAATAGTTTAAGCTCCAAGACAAATTTCAAAAAACTGAGTAAGCAGTTTTTTTGTAGATCGCAAAAACCACTTTGAATTTGATCGGTGAAAAACTAAAGATATTTCAAACAAACTTTGGAGCTCGTTTCCCCCTTTTGGAGCTCAAATAATTCAGTCTTCATGAAAATATTTAAAAAACCAAGTATGCAACTTTCTTTGTATTCTTTTATTGATTTTAAAAAACAAAAATCCCTTCTTAGTGCGCACCTACACTATGATAGGATACTTGAGCCCAAATTTCAGCTTCCTAGCTTTTACCGTTTAGGCTGTGGGCTGTTGACGCGGTTTCCTTTTGTGTCCGAACATTTTTTTTACAGGAAAACTCCCATATTTCAGGCACCATCAAAAACCCAAGTATGCAGTTTTTCTTGGAATTTTTCTGGGAGTATACAAACTAAGTTTAAAGTTAATCAGATGTAAATTGTCGATTTTTCATACAAACTTTGGAGCTCGATTTCCCCCCTTTCAAAAATCCCTTCTTATCGCCAGCCTACACTATGAAAGGATACTTGAGTCCAAATTTCAGCTTCCTAGCTTTTACCGTTTGGGCTGTGCGTTGATCACAAATCAGTCAGTCAGTCAGTCAGGACAAACTGTATTATATATATATAGATGTGCATACACACATACATATAATCATATATGTATTTTTATTTATTTAATTACCAGGTAAAATCTGAAAACGAGAAGCGAAGCTACTGCTCGCAAAACAGCAAAAGAACAAATACATGTATGTATATACATATGTGCACGCACACATTCTAAGAGCATAAGCGGCACAGATCGACCGTCTCTATTGACTGCGTCTCTGCAAATGAAATGAAATTCGCTCACAGAGAGCACGAACGCGACAGCTCCCAGTCGGGTTAGCCGAAGTGCGACAGCTCCCATTCGGCAAATATCCGAAGAGCTATGGGAGCTGTCGCTCACAATTTTGATGGGACGTTTTCGTTGTATGAAATGAAGCATCTATATGTTGTATGGTTAGTGACAATACTAACACTAATACATTTACATTCAGTAGGCAACAGTTTTGTACTAGTTATAACGATAATGAAAAAAAAAAAAAAAAATTAATTTAAATTTACGTATAAATAAAATAATAATAACAAGATAGAAAAAAATTAAAAAAAAAAATATTTGAAAAAATTCAATTATTTAGAAAAATTTTAATTAATTTATTAAATTTATTAAGAAAATTTATTTAATACATACATAGCAGACATGTTTATGTACGGTTTTACATTTACATCACGTGTCCAAGCGTGTTTATATACGTAGCACAAAGTTGATCCAAAGCGGCAACAACAAGAACAGCTGCGGGCAGCGCTGCAAGCAGAGCATTGGCAGCGATTTTACTTATGGCTATAACTTTCTTCAGAATTGACCTATCATGATGAAACTTGGCATACGGACACGTAAGCACTAACTGGACGTAACTACTTAAACTGATTTCAAAATTCCAAGAATTACGGAAGTTATACACAAAAACATGAATTGCGGGGGAGTGGGGGGTGTATCAGAATAAAAAAATAAACTTGACCTGTCTAGGGCTTAGGGGAACCTGGATACCAAGTTTGGTAATTCTAGCTCTTGTACCTTCTGAGATCCTTGCGCTCATACAGACGGGCGGACAGACGGACATGGCTATATCGACTCAGCTTGTCACCCTGATCAAGAATATACATACATATATACTTTGTGGGGTCTGCCACGCCTCCTTCTCCCTGTTACATACATTCGCACAAAACTAGTATAGTCTTTCACCCTTTGGGTACAGGCTATAAAAATAGGTTAAGTAGGCTAATCAAATCCGTTTTCATGTTATTATCTAGGGAAATTTAATTTTTGTGAATAGTGCATTAATTTATAAGAATCTTTCTTGTCGCACTAGGAACTAATAATAAATAAATAAATAACAGGATTCCCAACTCAATATTAAGCCCTAATAAACATGTAGAACAAGTATAATTAAGATTAGTTTAAATTTGGTGTGATTGTAAAATTTACTGTTACAAATTAAGCTAAACTTCAGAGTGAATTAGTGCCGAAAGAACTAAAGGGGAACAAACTGAAGTGCCGCATAAAACAAAGAAACTAAGGAAATTAGTTTTTCTCAATTAAGGAAAAAAGTATATTCACAAAACGAACCATCATTTATAAGTCGTTTCTTTTGAATATTATTCGTATAAGTGGTGGAATTTAATATAGAAATTCAGCAGTCGATTTTATGCAGCTATGGATGGAACCCACAACTAAATTATCGGTGCCATGGTATCTATAACGATAAATACAGGTTGAAAATTATATTGGGCACTGCTGAATCTTATTCTGATTTTTATAATCCAATACTAATAACAAAATCTAATACAGTTTTAGTGTTCGTTTCTTTGTTGCAAACAGTCACAGTATTTGTAACAAAACATTCGCCTTACTTTAGAATTTTTTGGTGCATGTGAATTGATTTCAGTACATGTTTTCATTAACAGAGGAAAAAAATGCTTACACTTCATTTTTATAGCATGTACCCAAAGGTTAAAAGGCTATACTAGTTTTGTGCGAATGTATATAAATTTAGAGAAATGAAAAATGGTTCGTATCACTTAGAATGTACCATGCTGAAAAAAATGGTGGTATACATAAAAGCTTTAAAAATTTCCACTAATTAAAATTTTGATTAAATAATGCACGATGCATTTAAAAAATAACATATGCATATGATCAATGAAAAAACTTCAACAAATCCAACTCAGATCTATTTTAAAGCGAAATAGTGCGTCATAATAATGAACGTGTGGTCGACTTTATATGGCAAAAAATTTTCTACGGGGGCAACGGCCCCCCCCCCTGCCCTTCCTGCCAGCGCCCTTGGTCACGTCATTACAGAATCAGGGTTTATTAACTTTAAAGTTTAAATTATAAAATATTGTACATTGTAACCTACGAATATGTCGACAGTCCATATTTGTTGACAAAAAAAAAAAAAACAAATAAATAAATAAATGGAAACAGAGGTCCAAACTTCATTTCAATACTGCGAAAACTGATCTGAAATTCTAAAGGTTGCGTAGATTCTAAAATTCTAAAATACAAAACCAAAATGCTGATTTCCCACTCAGTTGTGTCAGCAATAGAGTAGGAAAGCGGGAAAGCGTTCTCGGTCCTCTATTATATGTACTGTAAATATTAGATATTCGAAAGGATTCCCGATTAACAGTAACCACACGTGTCGATGACATTGCAATTCCAGAGCTTTGGCTAACTGCTTGGCTGTTGTGAAGGAGTGGCTGCCCCACTGGAGTGATTGTCTGATCATGATTGGACTCCACTAGTTGCACAGCTACTTTGGGAAATTCTGTTCCGAACCTACTCGACTTTATATGGCAACATTTTTTGTGGGGCGCGACTAAGTGCTACGACCGATATTCTATTTTAAATTTGAAGTTTTAAAATATGTACATCGCAAAAAACAATTTTAATTAAATCAAGTATATCCGTTTATTAACGAACAATTATAGACCCAAATACTTTTGATCGAATGATTGATGTACCGATAAAAAAAAATCGAAAGCCAACAATGTACAATTTATCGAGCTGTTTTTACATCTCTGATGCATATTATTCTTGCGAATAAAGAACGAATTCTTATGGAGTTATTTGTTGTGGACAAAGTAGTGTGCAATAAAATTGTAAATAAAGAATAAAGACACAGCTTCAAAAACAAGCTCATCATGTCTTCCAGAAGCGAATTAAAGAAGTTGTCAGAGGAGAGCTTGTTGCAACCTCCAGAAAAAGTATTCGATATTATGTACAAGCTCGGAGAGGGAAGTTATGGCTCTGTATACAAGGCGCTGCACAAGGAAAGTAAACGAAAATTTTGTGTACATACATACATAAGTTTGTATGTAAACAACGCAAGAAATTTGCGAATTCGGTGTAAGAGCTCAATGCCAAATGATCAGAATAGGCCAAAACTTCTGTGCTTTACGGAAATGTGAACACGGCTGTTAGTTTCCTAAAAATTGAATTAAAATTATAACAAGTAATATTTTACCTAGGGACGTTAGAAATTCACGAAATAATGTTTCAAACTATTGTAATACTAACAGGAAAGCAGCTCGATAGTGGCCATCAAGTTAGTACCGGTGGAGTCTGATCTTCACGAGATCATCAAGGAAATTTCAATTATGCAACAATGTGACAGTCCTTATGTCGTGCGATACTATGGCTCATATTTTAAACAGGTAGTAATAAAACCGTAGCCATAATTAATTATTTGCCGGCTTTTTAAAACTTTTAATTTAATTAAAGTATGATTTGTGGATATGCATGGAGTACTGCGGCGCGGGAAGTGTTTCGGATATAATGCGTTTGCGTAAAAAAACGTTGACAGAGGATGAGATAGCAACTATAATGTCGGATACTCTCAGAGGTCTGGTATATCTGCACCTGCGTCGCAAAATACATCGCGACATTAAGGCTGCTAACATACTGCTCAATACCGAGGGATATGCGAAGCTTGCGGACTTCGGCGTGGCCGGGCAGCTTACGGATACGATGGCAAAGCGTAATACAGTGATAGGCACGCCATTCTGGATGGCTCCAGAAGTGATAGAGGAAATTGGTTATGACTGCGTAGCGGATGTGTGGTCATTGGGCATTACAGCTCTTGAAATGGCGGAGGGCAAGCCACCATATGGTGATATACATCCCATGCGCGCCATATTTATGATACCGCAGAAGCCACCTCCCTCGTTCCGTGAACCAGATCGTTGGAGCGCAGAGTTTATAGACTTTGTGAGTAAATGTTTGGTGAAAGATCCAGATGAGCGCGCGACAGCAACAGATTTGCTGGAACATGAATTCATTCGAAATGCTAAACATCGCAGCATACTAAAAACAATGCTTGAAGAAACGTGCGAAATACGCGAGCAGCAACGTGCTAACCGTGCAGCGGGCTTAGTAAGTGGGATGGTTATGAGTCAAGCCAAAAGTCTTGCTAATCAAGGCATTATACTGCAAGAAGAGGGCGAGTTCAATGCGGAGACTGTTAAAACCTTTATCGATGATCCCGGCACCTTGGTCCCGGAGAAGATTGCTGACTATCAGCAACCATCCGTTTTCGATGCCACTATGATAGCACATGCAGAGAATGCTGTGGATGAGGGTACGCTTGGTCCGGGTGGTATACGCGGTATAGCGGCAGATATCACAACTACCAATGCAGCAGCTCACGAGGCGGCAGGTGTCGATAGCGGCACCATGGTGGAATTAGAATCAAACCTGGGTACGTATGTATATTATCGAACTATCGTTTGACGACATCTTTGATCTATTACAGGAACAATGGTTATTAATTCGGACTCAGACGATTCTACGACTGCCAAATGTAATGACAACAACAAGCCACGATATCGACCTCAGTTTTTAGATCATTTTGAGCGTAAAAATGCATCCGAGGTGCGTGCGGATGTAAGTGAGAAGGTCACGGAATACTCTCCAGCGGCGGCCGAGCAGCAGTTGCACATGGCCAGCAGTACTAATGATGGGAGCAACTGGGAGCATAAAATGGAAATGCAGTTTCAACAAATTTCAGCTATTAATCAGTATGGTCTCCAACAGCACCAACAACATTTGCAGCAACAACAACAGCAACATTTAATAATGGCCTACCCGTTAATGGGCGAGCAGCTGATTGCATTGAACAATCAGCAGAATTTACTGCGTAACCAACAACAGCAGCCGCCACCTGCATACCACAATCAACATATGCATACACAATCGCATACCTATGTCGAAGGGGAGTTCGAATTTTTGAAATTTCTCACATTCGACGATCTTAATCAAAGGCTCAATAACATCGACTCCGAGATGGAAAAGGAGATTGAGGAACTAAACAAAAAATACAATGCAAAGCGGCAGCCAATTGTTGATGCAATGAATGCGAAGCGCAAGCGTCAACAGAATATAAATAACAATTTAATTAAAATATAAAAAGTATACATATATTCAAAAATTAAGATCAGCGAACAAGAGTGGGACTTGAACCTAAAAGCTTTATTGAAATGCCATATGCAAACGCAGTGGTATGAAAAGTTAAAATAATTCTGAAAAAGACGTTTCTTTTGCTCCTTGTGTCCTTTTACAGTGGATGTTGGGATTATATGTATGTTTGATTATTTTCTACTAGTTAAAAATGGTAACTCGAATAGGAACGAATGTATAAAAGAATCATGGAAGAACAAATCGATTTTGCATTGCATTGGAATGCTTTTGGATACAAATATGATAAAAAAAACCCAAACACCAAACATATGCGTGTATCTGTATACAAAGTTATATACACATATGTAATAGCGATTGCACATCAATTACACACACACATTAATTAGGGTATATAATAAGGAAAATAAACATTGGTATTGCCACGTGACTGTATTAAAAATATAAGCAATTGTCCAAAACAAATATATTTTAATATGATTAAAAAAGATAAATGTGTAAAGATGTTCGACCCACTCTCTCATTCCCCTATGTCTATTAGTTGAGTCGAGTGTTCAAGATCGTGCAGTTGCGACCGCAAGTCATCTGGCAAATTATGCTCACTCAAGGCACTAGGATCTTCGCCATCAACGACAATTTCCTCAGGGTCGGGGGCGCGTGGCAGGAACTCTGAACCAGCATAAATGCGTCCAAAAATATCGCGGGCATTGGCAATCGCAGCATCGTAGTCCAGCTCATAACTGGGGGCATCGGTGCAGAATATGGGTGAAGTATTTGAATGCGAAAAAGTCGACGATGTTATAGTAAAAAATGAGCTAAAAAGTATTTCGGGTTCATTGTTTTGAAAAATTTGGGCAGTAAACGGTGATAAATCGTCAGCTGGATCGTTACTTGCAGCCGGCGTAGTCAAGTGAAAAATATCTGTAAACGAGATACATATGTACAAGTATATACGAAAATTTCATTTATGTTTTTACATTGCATTGCCACTTACACAGTCCTTCAGGGCATGTGCCCGAATAGTGGGACAATTGTATAAAAATTGCATCCCGATCTCCGCTATCCGTCAGCAACCGCATCATGTTGACACCGCCGCCACCTTTGTTAAGTTCCTCACCGCCCAGGGGATGAGCGGTAATATATACGGCACGTGAGATATTATACCGCAGCTCGCCAAAGTTCGAAGCTATTTGTGAAGGTACTTGTCCAAAGGCACAGACCAAATTCTTGGCACGCAACGTTTTCCCAGCGCTGCTCAATAGTACTTCGTTCGTATCTGCATCGAGGCTTACGTTATCTACGGCGCGCTTTAGGCAGTAAATACCGCCATAGACAGCGCATAGCCGACAAAAACACTGCGGCAACTCGCCACAGCCGTACATTGGAAACAGAAAGGGTGTGTTGCCGTAACGTCCTAGGCTGCGCAAAAAACGCTGCGTACGTTCCATACCCTCTTCGAAACTGGTGTTAACATTGCTTAAAGCTATAGATTGCATGATACATGAAGCTATCTTCTCTGTGACGCGCTGCGACTGTAGGTAGTCCTGGAACGTCTTGCCTCGAAAGGCAAGGGTGTCATCATTGCACTTTTTTATGTTATAGACTTGACAGCCATTGAGGAATTTCATCAACAGACGTTTCTCGACTATGCTTAACGCCTTCGTGTTGAAGACGTCGCTGCGTGAGCAAGGAACTGGCACGATTTCTTCATTGTACCGCATGCACACATGGTCTAAAGCACGAAATTCGGCGTAACGGCAAATGTTAGACTTGATAAGCAATTGAACTAGCTGACCGGCGGCATAAAGAATACGCGGACATAGATCAATGCTGAACCGACGCGACTTGGCCAGCAATGCTTCCCGTGTCCACGGATGATGGCTGGGTGATATCGGTTCAGTGGATGTGCTTCGGTCATGCCAACGGTACGTAGCATTACGCAGCGAAGCTTCAGGTCTCTGTTCCAGCAGGTTGATTAATGCGTCCAAGTTAAATGAACTCCAAACGTCGCCATAATACTCATTGGCGTCAATATGAAGTACATTCTTACCAATACGGCTGGCCGCAGCAGCGATGCAGGACTCGACAAAGCCTGCAAATTGAAGTTAGCACACACCAAAGATATATAACCCACTGGAGCGTTTGTTTACCTGTTCCTATTACAATCAGGTCATAATCCTCTGGCAGCTCGTCCGACATTGTGTATTTTAATGCAAAATATGTCTTTATATCATTTGTGGTGTTTGGAAGTTTCAGCTAGTGCTGGACAAAAAATCGATGTAACATCGATACATCGATGTTTTGTAATTTATTTCAAACATCGATTTTTTTGCCTATGTTCGATGGCTTTTACTACCTTTTTAAAGGAAACGAACCGGGGGGAAAAAAATATATGTACTTATTTAGGTGTTAGCAGGGCTAATGGCAAAGGTAGTTATACAGAGGTGCCACAGAAAACTCCGCTGGTTTCGGCTACAGTTGTTTTTAAAAACAATACGTCGGTGCCCCAGAACTTATTTTTTTTGAAGTTCCCCTCAAAGCCAGCTGTCAGCAACAGCTGACTGTCAACACTCACATTTGACGGACTAATTCTGCAAAAATCCTGTAACGCACTAAGCTGTCAGCAACATCTGACTGTCGACGGGAGCATTTGACTGACTAATTATGTTTAAACTCTGTAACGTACTATGTTAAATAGAAAACAAATATGCCATTTGCATTAATATTAGAACGCGAAACGCCAATTAATTGTTGAAAAAATACAACACAAATGTTTAAGAAGCACTGCTGATCCCACAAAAGAATGTTGTTTAATAAAAACAAGTAAAAAAGCTAAAGTCGGGTGTCCCGACTTTGAAATACTCTGTACATATGTTTACAATAATTATAAAAAATAAAAAAATTAAGAAAATTAAAAAGAAATGGTGTATAATTTCACATTTACATAGCAATTGCGTCTGTGTGAGTGTATGAATGCCTATGCGCATCTATTCGTGTCTGTGTAAACATGTTAGCAGTCAACCAAACAGCAACATCAACAACAGCCGCGGGCAGCGCTGCAGCAGCAAATATATTTATGGCTATAACTTCTTGATAAATTGATACGGGAGTTAGAGAAAAGCGCGGGAAAATCAAAAAAAAAAAAAAAAAAACAAACTCGTATAGAATACACACATAAGGCATCTTTGTGCAAAATTTGGTGTCTCTATATCTTATAGTCTCCGAGATCCAGGTGTTCATACGGACAGACGGACAGACAGACCCCTGTCAGTCTAGATCGACTCGTCTCGTCATGCTGATCAAGAATATATATACTTTGTGGGGTCTGCCACGCCTCCTTCTGCCTGTTACATTTTTCAGCTCCCGCAAACCTAATATTCTTCTGTACATTTCATGTACAGAGTATAATTAAATTTATTTTACATTTTTTATAACAACATGTTGAATTTTGTGCAATTACGGGGTGTACTTCCATAAATTGGACGAAAATTGCGTCGTGTTGTGGCGATCTATGTTTTGCAAAAATTAGCTTTTAAATTGAATTCAGAAATTGCAAAAATGTACTTACATTTTGTTTCCCTAGTCCGTATTGTATATTCAAATGGCAGTTTATGACCATTCATATGTTCGTTAACAAACAGGCTTGCCCAAACGGCGACACACAATTTTCGCCAAGTTTGTTTAATTAATATACAGTTATGTGGTACTTATAATTAAATAAAACAAGAAAGGAATGCTAAAGTCGAGCAGGCTCAACTCTTAAATACCCTGTACCACCCCGCAAAAAAGTAATTAAATTAATTAATAAATTAAATTAAATAACTAAATTAATTTAATAATTTAACTACATATTAACTAATTAAATATAAAATATTCCATGCATGCATACATACATTTACATTTACATCAGAATCGTGCCTTATGCGTGTTTGTGTACTTGTACATATGTATGTATGTGTGCATTGGGCCTGGTTATATGGCTATAACTTTCTTTCCGATCATTCTATCATAATGAAACTTGGTATACGGATATATAATTACTAACCTAATGTGACTACCAAATTTTAGTTCAAAATTTTAAGAATTACGGGAGTTATAGAAAATCGGTAATAGGGGGGGAGTGGGGAGGTGGATCAGAAAAAATGAACAAACTCGTCCTTTCTCGGTCTCAAGAGAATCTGTATACCAAGTTTGGTTATTCTAGCTCTTATACTTTCGGAGATCCTTGCGTTCATACAGACAGACAGACAGACGGACAGACGGACATGGCTATATCGACTCGGCTTGTCATGCTGATCAAGAATATATATACTTTGTGGGGTCTACCAAGCCTCCTTCTGTGTGTTCCATGTGCACTCGCACAAAACTAATATACCCTTGTACCCTTTGGGTACAGGGTATAATAAGCTGTTGTTGTTGTTGCTGCTTTGGTTCAACTTTGTGCTGCATACATACACGCATGTAAACAACCAGCCATGCTTCTTATGTAAATTGATGCTGTTGAAACTGTACATGAAGATGTCTCCACTATCGTATATATGTATTGAATAATTTGTATTTAATTTAATTAATATAATTTTTTTAAATTAATTTAATTTTTTTAATTTTTTTCCTTTTTGGTGGGAGGTACAGGGTATTTAAGAGTTGAGCTTTCTCGACTTACGCATTCCTTTCTTGTTGTAGCCGCTCTCATAAATGTATGTTAGTTTGTAATAACAGCTGTCAATAGGTTAGTCTCTTGCTCGCTGTTAACTTATGGTATACAACTCATGTTATGCACATGCATGGCTAGTAACGAAACACTCTAAATTTGAAATTGACCTGTGCGGTTGACCTTTTTTTGTTGTTCCAGCTTATTTTCGTGCGTCAGCTGTGCGTTTATTGTATATACATAAGTCCACAAGCGACTTATACAGGGGTGCCACAGAAATCTCTTCCGCCCAATTTTCGCCTCAAAACCAATTCTCGGTGGCACGCTTTTGGGAACTTTCTAATCTCGTTTGTTTTTCCAGAAGTTTTGAGTAAATTGCGAAATAAAACCTATAGTTTTTCTGAACATATTCTGAAAATATTTTGCATATCCTATTATTAAATTAGGAAATTACTAAATGTATACTTAAACAAGTAAAAAAGCTAAAGTCGGGTGTCCCGACTTTGAAATACTCTGTACATATGTTTACAATAATTATAGAAAAAAAAAAAAAAAAAAAAAAATTGGATCGATTTTACCTCTCTCGGTATTCGAACTCACGTAAAGGGTGTATAATTGCACATTTACATAGCAATTGCGTCTGTGTGAGTGTATGTATGCCTATGCGCATCAATACGTGTCTGTGTAAGCATTTTCGCAGTCAACCAAACAGCAACATCAACAACAGCCGCGGGCAGCGCTTGAGCAGCGCTGCAGCAGCAAATATATTTATGGCTATAACTTCTTGGTAAATCGGTCTATCATAGTGAAACTTGGCATACGGACACATAATTACTAACTGGGGGTATTTTAGTTCGAAATTCCAAGAATTACGGGAGTTAGAGAAAATCGCATTTGCATGGGAGAGGGGGGAGGGAGGGAAATTCCAAAATATACATTTTCTGCGTATTCACACAAGGCATCTTGGACTAAAATTTGGTGTTCCTAGGTCTTATAGTCTCCGAGATATAGGCGATTATACGAATGGAAAATCGGGAAAACCCCCATAGGGGGGAAGTGGGGGGGGAATCAAAAAAATAAAACAAACTCGTATAGAATACAGACATAACGCATCTTTGTGGAAAATTTGGTGTCTCTATCTCTTATAGTCTCTGAGATCCAGGTGTTCATACGGACGGACAGACGGACAGACAGACAGACAGGGCTAGATCGACTCGTCTTGTCACGCTGATCAATAATATATATACTTTGTGGGGTCTGCCACGCCTCCTTCTGCCTGTTACATTTTTCAGCTCCCGCAAACCTAATATACTCTTGTACATTTCATGTACAGAGTATAAACACCAGCATTCGGGCACAGCATCCAAAACAACCACATTAATATGCCAGAAGACCTAGAATTTATTTGCGTTAAGGCAACATCGCCTTCTCGAGCCCTATATATCTCTTGCTCCTATATTCCTCCTTCTTCTGATATTCAAATTTATATGCTCCATATTACTCGTATCAGAGAAGTTTGTTCCCGCCTGCGTGACCATACCAATCATTTCTTGGTCATTCTTTAATAGTTCTCCTCACCTTATTCATTCGTCACAGTATGACTTTTTGGATTGCCTTCTTGAACTCTCTTTAGTTCAAATTAATCCAATATACAATCACCTTCATAGATATCTCGATTTGGTGTTTGATAATGATATCACTAATGTTGTTGTTTCTAGACCTTCTCCTTTAACGCTGCCTGAAGATATTTATCATCCTACTCTAAAAATTTGTCTTCCCTTTTCTAGGTCTAGTGCATGGTCTTCTGAGTGTAACATGCGTCGCAAATGTTTTCGAAAATGTGATTTTGTTATGCTTAACCGTTTGATTTATAATGCTAATTGGTTTTTCTTGTATAGCTCTGTCGATATAGATGTTGCTTCAATATTTTTTTATGACACCATGTATTCTATCTTCGATGTCTGTGTTCCCAATCCCGTCGCATCATTTTCTTCTCTTAAGCCTCCATGGTTTACGCGTAGACTTTCTAACCTAAAAAACATAAAATCCAGATGTTTCAAAGGTTCAAGCAGTCGGGCTTAGGTGTTGACTTCTTTAGAGAATACAATATTTAGATATTGTATTGCAAAATCTAATTTTCTTCTTTTTTTCTAGTCGACGTACTCCTCTGAGTGTTTTAACAGTAATTCTTACCCCTTCCGCATTATGCCCTCAAATTCTATATTTGCTCCAATAATTACAGATTCTGTATTTTATCTAATATACAATCTGTAAAGGCCTGACAACAATCCTTGTTGTGTGCTCAAAGAGTGTAGTATTTCCCTCTGCAAACCGTTGCTTAGGTTTTTTAATCTGTCCCTTGAGAGCGGAAGCTTTTCTGCTTCTTGGAAAGAATCATTTATTAAACTTTCTGCCATTCCAAAATTATTTGATAAAATAATTACGTCCTCTTTACAGCATCATTGTAAGTCTGTAATCTCCTCTGCTCAGCATGGATTTTTTAAAAATCCGTCAACGTAGTATACCCAGGTCGAACATTTCTAAACCTGTTCTCGTAACTTCTGGTGAACCTCAAGGTAGTCATCTTGGCCTCCTATTATTCACT